ACGGTTAACCAAGCTTGTCATAGATTTAGGAATACTTAACAAACACACACCAGCATCATAATATAGATACCTACGCTAAACAAATAAAGCTCAGAGCAATAACTTTACATAGATTTGGTTTTATTTAAGTAGTTTTTGACGTAAGTAAATTCATAAAGATTTCTATAATATTGGCTTTTTCTTATCTTCTCTATAATACCTCTATCATATAATAAATTAAAAAAAATAACCAAATTTATGCCAAAAGTAAATGAAGATGAATGTCCTCCTAATAATAAAAAGAAAATAATAAACTTATTCTTGACTCGATGACACCTCGTAACCGCGGTTAACCGCGAGCGAATGACGACCTAGCGGCCATATTAGTATACGTCACATAATAATAATAAAATGTTACTGTCTTTACTGATATTATTTCATCAGTACCTAGGTCTATCTGATGCGATGAAAATAAAATTTATCCCATTTTTATTAAAGCGTTTCTCCCTGTGTTCCAAGTCCACGGGGATGGCTATGCACATCAATTCTGTCTATCCCCGTTTAACTCATTGTGTCGGGCAATGAGATAGATAGAGACAAAGAATCGCGAAATGCGCAGCAAAATCTGTCTTCAATTAAATTCTGTTTTGAAATAACTATTACGATTATTGTAAAAGAGTGACACACATATTTATGAATGTTCCTTATTAAAAGTAAATAATTGCAATAAAAAATAAATTAACATTAGAGATAAAGTGATTTTTAACGATCGAGCTGGCTGTGATAGAAACAAATCCCGATATACTACCAGTTTTATAATTGCTATCAAAACATAATAAAATATTACATAAAAGAATTAGAAAAAGTTTTGTATGTCACACAATCTGTAGGCCACCGTCGCCTGATTAAGCGATATAAACTGCAAAATGTTATTCCGTCTTATCGGCGTTTTTTATGATTTTCGCACGACGATAACAGACTGACATTTATAATTTATTTATACTTCAAACCAGCACTCAACAGATTCATATATATTTTTATGTGAGTGATATAGACATACATATTCACTCATATAACATTTTTATACATATATGGATTTATGCAAATAAGTTCCTCAATAAAAATATTTAATCAATACGTTTTTATTTAAAGAAGTCTCCGTATTGATGTAACTATTGTCAGGGTTTGATATATTTTTCATAAAATTAAAACTAAACACGCTTTAGTTAAATGATAAAAATAAAGTACAATAACATACTTAATAAAAACTTTAAAAAAAATAGAACCGACACTTGACACTTCAAAAAGTGATAAATAATACTTATCTCAAAGGCGAGTCAATCAGGAAAATGCTATTGAAGGTTTCTGAAGGAATATATCGGTTTTGAGGAAATTATTATTTATCACTTTTTTAACGTTTGAACTCGGTTTTATTTTTTTTCGTTTTTATTACATGCTTTTTAGTGATGTTGATATTTTTCATATACATAGCTAATAATAAAAATATTAAATACCTATCTAAATAAAAATATCGGAGAACATACATTAAAAAAAAACTCATCGCCGTCAAACCTAAAACCTCCTCCTTTCAGATTCTGAAGTCGGTTAAAAACTATCAAAAACCAATTAAAACGAACAAACGGATTCCTGACAAGTTCTAAGCTATAGCTCATTTTTAAAGTGGTTATTTGTAGCAATCCAACTTTTTTTCCTCCTATAATAGGAAGTCGAGAGGACTGCAAACAAAAACACGCAATAAATCAACTAATATTTTAGCTTCAATGCCTCTGGATTTCGCTACGCACGACTTCGTGTCCCACGTGATTCCACCTTTGGAATACCCTGGTACTCCAATGTCGGATTTAATATTATTCTGGCAAAGTTTACTTTTGTATGCCAGTGAAGTTTATTAAGGTTCTATCACACAGGTGTGATCGGTGTATATAACGGTGGTTGACGACTCTGAATGCGTTGGTTGCCTATGCAATATTTCTATATGATTGTATGTAGATGTCATTGTTCATTCATATGCAATAAAAGTTGAAACACAAAGTTGTGAAAATGGTGAGTATTTGTTGGTTTAAAAATATTAATATTGTTTAAAAATATACCAGTAGATGATCAAATTTTTCACAACCTAATTGAATTGCATCCTAAATAACTATGTACAGTACTTTGTTAAAATTTCAATGTAAAATGTTTTGAACCAATAAACGTAATTTGGAATTAACTATGACTTAACCTAATCGCATTATTAAATTTCTCAGATAGTACTCAGATTGACGTCTAACAATTCATAGTCAACTTTATGGTACTTATTTTTTAATTAGGTATTAAAAAATATTTGGTTTTTAATTAAAATAACGTCTTCTTTTCTCTCTTCTTAAGATGATCCAGCAATTGGATAGGCGATTTCTTCTAAACTGATTATATCTCAAAAATTGTCTTGTTATCATTATTATTAAATTATTATGTTACCTAATAAGACCATAATTTTTTTTCTCTATTTACGAGGGTCAAACTGAAAGTTCTTAGAAAATCAAAAACTAATTACATTAGCCAGTTATTAGTTTTATTATATCTTTTCAAAATATTGTCCATTCACGTCAATACACCGCTGCATGCGATGGAACCACTGGGAAAAGCACTTTGCCCACTCGTCCTTAGGGGTCTCTTCAATGGCATCGCGATACGCAGCCACCGCTTCTTCAGCATTCATAAACCGCTTTCCTTTAAGTTTTTCTTTAAGTTTTGGAAATAAATAAAAATCACAAGGCGCGAGGTCGGGGCTATACGGCGGGTGACCCAGTAATTCAACGTTTGATGTCGCCAAATAGTCGATCGTTCGCTTGGCGGTGTGCGACGAGGCGTTGTCGTGGTGAAGGAGGATCCTACTGCGAGGTCGTTTCTCTCGAACTTTTTCCAAGACAAGTGGCAAACAATTGGTAGTGTACCATTCTGCAGAAACTGTTTGTTTTATCCTCTAACACAATTGTTGCAAAATGACCTATCCTTCCAAAGAACGAGGCCACCATTTTTTTTCCCGCACTTCGATCTCTCTTCACTTTAGTTGGCAACTCCTCGAAAGGAAACACCCACTGAGCAGATTGTCTTTTGGTTTTAGGATCATAACAGTAAATCCAGCTTTCGTCACCTGTTAGTATGTCGAACACAGCATTTGAGTCACCTCCGTTAAATCTTTCAATCATTTTACGACACCAATCCACACGATGGAGTTTTTGAGCCTCAGTCAAATTATGAGGTATCCACCGGGCGCAAAGCTTCCTGACCGCTAAATGTTCGTGGAGGATTTTGTGCACTTGACTCATACCGATGCCTAAGCTTGTCCGAATCTGTTGATAGGTCACTCTTTTGTCAGTCTCTATCATACGCCGCACAACACAGATGTTATCTTCAGTCGTCGCCGTAGAAGGCCGTCCCTCACGTAAATCATCAGTGAGATTAGTGCGACCACGTTTAAACTCATTAAACCAGTTGTAAACAGTCGCACGAGATGGGGCTTCATCGTGAAAGGCCAATCGTAGTCTATCATAACTTTCTTGTTGACTTAAATGACATCGAAAGTCATAAAAAATCATTGCACGAAAATTTTCTCGTGTTAAATTCATGATGACGTGACACAGACAATTTTCAATTTGCCGCCAAATCGTAAAACAAATGACAAATGAATGAAATATATACTCAGTAATATTGGCAAAGAGTTATATTTTCAAATTTTAGAGTTATTTTTTTATTATATTGTTTATAAGTGGCCAGTTCTAAGAACTTTCAGTTTGACCCTCGTATAATGTATTGATCTGGTAATGACATGGTTTTTGTGAATGTCATTACTCCTATTAGAGATAGTGAGTTTCTTGCTCGTTCTTCTTATCAGCCTAAAGACCTCCTGAACGAGTGGTAGGGAAAAAAATTTTGGACGATTCAAAAGTACTTTTTAGAAGTCTATTTGAATGAAAATTATTTTGACTTGACTTCTCAATTTAGTGAACATCAATCACCGTACTTCAGAATTTCACTATGAAAATATTCTTTATTCTTATTAAAAGCTCTTATGAATCCATCGATAGTTTTCAATCTTATGTATGCATAATTATGCATATAAATGTATTATAAAATATAATATATATTTCTAACAAAATTTCATAAATAATAAGAAGAAGCACACGATATCGTCTATAAGGTCGCTGGAAACGACTCAATAACGATAGCAAAACCCATCAACATCGCAACTGCATTAAAAACTATAATTTTGCATCTTAGAATATAGAATCAACATAGAAAGCTCCTTTATAATGAACTAAAATAAAACTTTATGTAACTTAATTGAGAAATTTTATTATAGGTACAGATAACGAACAGTTAACTGTGGGATCCAAGATACAGAGCACTTATCGATATAATGCATCTTTAATAATCGTGTAGTTTAGTAATTATAGAGTCGCAACTGTATTAGTTTCTCCAGAGACCCTCAAAATATCGTTGACCAATAACTGGTTATGAAATCGGTGCCGAAACTGACCCAATACATCAGTAATTTCAAATTATAGAAATGCTTAATCTACCAAATATTTCAATGAATGTTTCTTGATTTGAGATATTCAAAATTGCCTACTCTGATTGCAAGAGATTGCAATTAAAGTGTACCGATTACGAAAACATTTTAGGGTACCGATTAATTATTAGCTGGCTGTCCCACCGAAGTAATCCCTACACATATTTATCAATGGTTGGAAATAGCTGAATAAGCAGTAATTGAGACCCGATCCGATCAACACTAGGTATTATGCTTGTAAAATAAAGACTCAAAACATTCTAAATGAAAAATGCCTTAAAAAATCCACCCTGTCCCTGGCACTCTGAGATGGGACCTAAAATAATAAAATAAAAAGGATAATAACAAAACGGACTTCTATAAAGTATAAAATAATACTCATCTTATACAATTCATTTGAGACTGATTTCAAAACGAAAAGTATCTGCAAACACTTTTCCATTTACAGATGTAGCACGTTTCATGTGTCCCTTCACAAAGGTTCGCATTGTCTGCTTATGTTGGGCACTCGCACTCGTGACGCCACAATGGACTATAAGTCATCTCACCCTGACACCTGACGTCATGCGGACGACTCCATTTGCACTGGAGCAGGTTGCAACCCATAGCATCTGGCAGCTCTAAATACATAGTTTATTTTGTATATTTAATAGTTTTGCTATCAAGGAAATCAAATTGTTACCACAAAAGAACGGCTAATACCAAAGTTCGAACCTGTTTGGCGAGTGTAGATTGTGCTAATAGGTAGATTTGGTCAACTGTTATATCATTGACTATAATACTTACTAAAATGTAACATATTTCTTATTTTAATGCTGATAAATAAAAATACTAACTGCACATCTTCTTTAGTGGAGATTCAAATTCCGTCGTTAATGCTGTTATGTTAAATTATAAAAAAAGTTTGCTTTTGAATATTTTTATTTATAGATAGTCTGTTCCGAGGGCAAGAGAAACGGACAATGTTCGAAAGTATTACATAAGCGAGTGTTGCAAATAAACAATACGTATCGCCATCCATAGAATGGTTATATGGATGGCGATACGTATTGTTTATTTGCATTGTATCGTTTTCGCAGAGGCCATAGGTAGGTATATGATATTATATTTCAGACGAGTTATTAGTTCTTTCCGGTTCCAGACAGGGCGTAGCGATTATACTGTCTCCTTGCTTGTTACTGCCTTCAACTAAATGACTGGATCTATGGGTGTTTCAAGTGACATGCAAATGCAGCTATTACGCAGTTTTATTGAAAACTATAGTTGTATGTGTCCGTCTGTGTATCTACACATTACCGGTTACTCTCTTATTAAAATTTATCAGGCCATTGAATAGATTTGTATGTGATATAATTGGGTTATAAATCGGTCTGTGTTCGCGGCGTATGCTGTCTAGGCGGACGACTTTATATGTCAACTGTATGATATTGAAAAGTGGTTACATTGCAATAAGTATGCAGTGCCTTCTGCGATTACGGTTGAGAATTGTTGGAACTAATAAAATAAATAAACAATATAGTATATTCAGTTGAGGCTTAACAAGCACTTATGAAATATCTAAAAGCACCACCGTCTCATCGCATATCTACGGCGTAAGTCTTTGTAGTGGAAGAGATTCTCGAGGAAAGCAAATACATCATTTTACTCGATTATTTATTTCATCGGTTAATGTTATATTAAATAGTCGCTTTCTATTATTTAAAAATACATCTTTCACAAGTAATAACGAATAATTCAGAAAAAAATAAATCGATACTTATTTATTTTCAGAATAAAGAAAAAACGTAATATTATATTCATACTAGCATAAAATTCATATATTTTAAACAGAAGATACACGTAAAGCCGGTGCAAAGCTCTAATGTAAATTGGCAAAGTAAGCAAATAATAATTGAGATGAAAGTTATTAATATGAGACATCTATAATGGTAATATGGTAGATCCTTTTATATCAAACCCTTATAACAAGAACTTCTGTAGTCTGAAAAAGAGAGATACTTACAAAAGACATCTAAGAGAGTTCAGTGCGTTTTTATTTTTATGTTATATTTTTGCTGACAATATTTCTGATAATAGAAGTCTACAATAGGCAGTCCCATAATAGAATTGATTGCCTGTTGCAGTTAAATATTCCGGCTTAGGTTTATGAAAAAAAGATCATATCAAAAACAATTTAAACTTTAATTCCGGTAGCACTTTTGTTTAGTACACCTCGTGTGAAGTTCGCTGTCAATTAGCCGTCTGCTGGTGTTGTTATGACAAAAACCCACAGTACAGCAATCACGCAGATATAAAGCTTGATGTCGACGCAGTAAAGTAAAATTATTACACGTAATATCTCTATATATCCGACGCCAATCCTCTGACTCTATTTTTTGCCAACTGGTTATCGAATGTGGAATCGATACATTATTTTATATGTTCACTCGTTAATACTCGTTATAACTAGTTTTGTTACTAAGAGGAGTTTAAATGAATCATGTGTGTGTAGGAACCGTAATGTTTAAGGTATGATCCTACTGGAGGATGGAGACAACTGGCAAGGGAGATTAAAGGATAATTGTCTCCCTCCGAGCTAGGTGTCGTTAGCCCGGGAACCGTGGTCCAACAGATGTTAGGTTACGCGAATTGGTAATGAAACTCGTTGTGGGCGACGTAGGTTTTTTTCATTGTTCTAATTGACTTGTAATATCTTAATTAACAAAGTACAGCACCATCTCGTTACTGGGTGTTGAAATTTTTTTCCCCTCGTCTTGCTATCGATTGTTGTGGCGATGGTAAAGAATGTGTTAGATGTATCTAACACATCGTATCAGTCGCCATATGAGCACGTTGAGCTCTGCAAGCCGACTGCATATTTCTGTGCAATTATCTATTATATCTGTTTAATCTATTATATACACGTTCACATACATGTATAGTGATTTCGTTATTTCAGAATGGATGCACCGCGCTGCAGCGCGCCGCGGCGGACGGGCACGTGGAGGCGGTGCGGCTGCTGCTGCAGCACGGCGCCGACCCTAACAAGCAGGACCACTTGGTACACTTGCTTACATTTACGGAACATCCAATTATCTGTGAAGACTCCTCTGTGAAGAAGGAAGGCACAGGAAGCCGTTGGTCCTGGCTGTATTTGCAGGATTTACGTGTCACAAACTTAAATATGTCAATTAAGCAATTGACATAAGTATAAGCATACTAATATTCGCATGCACTATTTTTAATAGAAAAGTATTTCATTTCGCACCAAATTACAAGTACATAACTCGTTCAAAATCAAAACATTTCAAGTGACCAGTCATCCAAAACGACAATTTCATAGGTTCGAACGACAAATTCCAAAATTACAATTTTATCAAAAATATGCTATACGAGTGTTTGTTAAGGTCCACGGAATCCATGGGGCTCTGCAAAGCGTATGACGATTAATGTGGTGTTTTGCAGCACGGCAATACGGCGTTGCACGAGGCGGCGTGGAAGGGGTACTCGCGGTGCGTGGCGCTGCTGGCGGGCGGCGGCGCGGAGCTGCGCGCGCGCAACGGCGGCGGCTCCGCGGCGCTGCACCTCGCCTGCCAGAACGGACACAACCAGTCCTGCCGGGAACTGCTGCTGGCCGGCGCGCCGCCGCACTTGCAGAACAACGTGAGTGTCACCCACCGGCCACTACAGCGAATCGCTTTCAACACAAAACTGTACCTACAGTAAAACTAGCCCTTATCTGCAGAGCGACTATAAAAATCTTATTCGGACGTGATTTCTTAATACAAAATCTATTGAAAGATTAATATTAATATAAGTTAAGACATCACCCATATTTGTTTATATTGTAAGTGCAACCCTAACGACAACTTGTCCGTTATGATCCGCAGTATGGTGACACACCCCTCCACACGGCAGCACGTTACGGGCACGCGGGCGTGACACGTATCCTTATATCTGCGCAATGTCGGGTGTCCGAACAGAACAAGAACGGGGACACCGCCCTCCACATCGCCGCCGCCATGGGCCGCCGCAAGCTCACGCGCATCCTCCTCGAGGCCGGCTGCGATAAGGCGATCAAGAACCAGCAGGGAGAAACGGCCCGAGACATCGCTACTAGGAAAGGCCTGGAAGAAATCATCAACATCCTCAACACCCCCGTAGCCAAACAACCCAAGAAGAAAGAAAAACGAGATAAGAGCAAAGATCGCGGAATCGACGAACCGGACGATGGAAAGAAAAAAAACAAAGATAAGAAAAAGAAGAACGTCCACTTCGAACAGCAGCCGCCACCGGTGCAGTGGTCGCCGTACGGTTGCCACTATTATCCAGACCCAAAATATTTCCCTAAACCGAAATTGAGCTCGCTTCCCACCGAACCCCTCAAGAAAGGCGAGCAATACTATTTGGATCTCGCGGGAAATATAAAGAAGGGCCCCATAGGAGCCGGTTATACATGCTATTGTGCTCCATTCTTCAAACACATGGAAGATAAACTGAACGAAGATAAGAAAGATCTAAAGCGACATATTGACAGAGCCCACGAAAGGTTGGATCAAAAAGTAACAGATTTGGAAATGAAGACGCAGGGTCAGATATCGGAGTTGACTAGGTTTGTCGCCGCGGAAAGAGCTATGTGCAACGAGCGACATAAACACTTAGAGCACTGGTTGACACGGGGAATGATGTTCAGAGCTTCTGAAAGAATAAGAAAATTAGATTTCAGTCCTAAGGGTTCTTTGGACATCCCTCCGTTGAAAAGGACTAGAAGTTTAGAAATCTTGGATACGCATACTGAAGAATGGAATAAAGTTAACAGGTTAATAAAAACCTTCAATAAAAATTCTGAACAATATGAAAGTAATGCCAAAGACTTGAATGAGACTAGAGTCACGTCGAAAAGCACCGAGGTTTTAGATAGCAGAAGATCACCACCGACTCCGAGACGTAAATATATACTTAAAAACTCCAGAAGTACAGATCAGTTAGAAGCCGGTCCAAGTACGGATTTAAGATTCTCGAGATCTCCCAACGCCGCACCGTGTCATGCGAGTTCGAAACGTGATAGTCATTTGCAAAACGTTACAGCAGAAATCCATGTAAAAGCAAATAAAATATGCGTTTCTCAATCTCCTTTGTCGATGGAAGTACAAGATAATAGTGAAAGATACGTGTCCCCTAATCTTACACCTCATGTCATCTCTCCTAATGGCAGCAACAGACATTCTGATTACAAGGCGAATGATTCTGATGGAGAAAATTTAATTAGAACTCAAATAGAATGTCCTCAAGATATTCCAGTTTGGAAAAGTCAGGTTCTTCAAAGAACTGCAGATGATATTCGAAAAAGAGTGATGCTTGACAAAGAAATGTCAGATGTGATCGGCAGAACCAATAGTAAATCTCTGGATATAGCCCAAGATGGTTACGTTAAACTTCGCAAACAGGGCAGCTGCCCGAGAGAGGAAAGTAGCATAGTCAGAGAACCGAGAAAGTCAGTACAAGAATTAGTCGCGCAAGTAGAACACCATCAACAGGGGTGTAAATCTCCCGAACCTTTACCATTACAAAGAAAAATGTCACCTTCTAGTGTACATGAAGAACCGATAGCTCTCGTCCAACCTTGCCCGGGGATACTGAAGATGCCACAACAACCTCAAAGACCAGCTCCAGTGCTAAAAGAGAAACCACCGAAAAGCAAACGTTTTAGCTTGCACAACCTGATACCATTCCCAACGAGAAAGACTTTCCAAACTCCACCAAAAGACAACGGCAATAATTCCGAGAGTAGCGATGAAGAGGATAACCCGATAAGAACCACAAATCAGCCCGGTCCTATGAGAAACACAAATCTTTTGCAAACACTTCCGATGCCAAACTTCGAAACCATGTCTAATAAATCACCCTCGCCAGCTCCTCAAGTGCAACATCAAAACAATCCTTATCCCCACGACTTAAGAACTGCAATACCTAAAGATGCATACTTTCACGACATATCCAACAGGCAAATCCCCCATCAGACGCCTTACAGAGAAATTATCGAAAACGGTCTTCCTGTTCCTCAGTACAATACGCATCAAACGAATCGTTACGATTACAATGAAACAGGACTTCCACACGCGCCCGTTCAGGGTCGGAACAGGAACCCTTTGTACTACCATCAGAGAGGCGTTTTCGACGCGATGATGCAAGATCACATACTGAGAGAAATGGAAAGGATACCGCAATGCTATGGTGACCATTTGGATCAGAACACCGAAATCGAAATATCGAACCAAAATGATCAGTTTCGTGGAAGTCACTACGGTAATCGTTCGCCGATGTACCCGAACTTCAGAGGGAACCCTCACGGTGTGAGGAAAGCTGCAGATCACAATTTGTTGCACACACGTCTACAGTCGTTGGCTATCAACACCCATCTTACAGAGACTCAGAGTCAAACAGACAGAGAATCTCACAACGACTCAGGGTACAGCACGAAGGTGTACGGCAGCTCTCAAGGACCTTCCCCTAGTCTGTCGGGACACGTCGAATGCTCGGTGTCTGACAACCTCTCTGGGCAGAGGGTGGATGTGGTACCAGGTGGAAAAATAGCCCCACAAATAGGTGCTTCTAGTTTGGTGTAAATTCTAATGTGATATCATTGTGCCTTTTTCGAACATATTTCCGAATCAATAATACAAAGCATGTTGTATTATCTAAGATATTTTTTTATAATTTTCGGAATTCTTTTTTATGTGCGTTCCTTGACTACTGCATTTTTTTTATAATACGTGATATGCTTTACAAGTTTCTGTTGTATCAGTATTGTAATCAGCTTTGCAATAGAATGTGAGCAAACATCATCGGAATAATAGTATGCATTGTGACCCCACAGACTGCAGACTTTCCATCAGCCGAAAGTTAAGTCGAGTTGTTCTGCAAGTGCGCACATCTGTTTGGACTTGAGTACTTAGACCAGCCAACAAACAGTCGACCAATCTATTACATTCGCTAGAGTTGGTGAAGAGATCAGTGGCTTAGAAACATTATTATTTCTTTATAGTTGATATAATTGGCAACTCTAATATATAAAAGTAGTGCTTTATTATTTTATACGAGCTGTCAAATTAATTGGACTTTCAACAGCGAAAAAGGTCACATATTTAAGACTTTCTAACCCTGCTAGTTTTGAGCGCACAACCAACCTAGGCAAAAAAGGCAAAGACCAAGGGTATCGGCCGACGAAACAATCCGCGAGTGTGCGTGCGGGAAAACACCGCCATACTGATCAAGCAGTCGGCCGAGAGTTCGTCGATAATTTAGTTCAAATGCAATCGTAGAGCCTTTCAAACTTTTCGTCGGCCGATACTAAATCTCTGTAATATGCGCACTCACATACTTCTTCATACTAAGAAACCGATCAAAGTATCAGCCGATAGAAAGTCTATAGTCTGCAAGGATACCGAGTATACGCAAAATAGATACTTAGCGTAGAGGTGGTAACGTTTTTCAAGATATTGTATTATAAGATGGCCCATATTTCTTCTCGTCACGTGCATCTTTAATTTTCTTCTAATTCAAAGGCTCAATTGGAACTTTATGACAAATTTGTTTTTCTATTTAAAAATTAAAAATTGCTCTTATCAACTTATTTACAACCCCCACTTCAAGTGGTTTATTGTTTTACAAAGATTTCTATGTTTGATCACTTGTGTAGATAGATATTAATGTATTTTATAAAATACTCATGTCTTATGCACTTAAATGTACCTACACTTGGAAGTTAGCAAAATAATGTGAAAATTAAAAGTACAAAATATACGTTTAAAAATATATTGATGCCATGCCACTATACAAATAAGTAGAATTAATGAATTATAATATTTATACAGGGCGTCGATTTCGTGTAAAGTAGCAAAATTATTCAATATTTCACTGTCAATCAACAGATGGCGATGGTGGTCTTATTTGATGGTTTTTATTTAATCGGTTTAATTACGATTCATCTTTTAAAATAATTAGTCCTCTATTTTATTGATTGACGAAGCGAATTAAAAATCATACATTAACAACATCATGGCTTAATTTCATTGGTCGGCCACAGGCCACAGAAATCTTGGGTTCTGCCGATCGATAAAAATGTGCTTTATACGTTAATCTCGGGAGCTCGGTTTGAGATACACATGTCGCACTTTGCTACTGACTAATTTATCGATTGAGAGTTTAATTAAATCTTACATGTTTCCTATATTTCAACTAACAATCTTTAGAAGATAAGCACAGCTAGCTACTAGTGAAAACCGCACTTTACAAGTAAAATTACTTTTAATGCCCTGCCGCTGCTGCAGTTATCGTCACGCCCGTACGCACTCGCACCGCACCGCCTGTTTAATCTACAGGAGTCCCCGCTCGTCTCACGCACACCCGCTTGAGCTTAGCGCAAATTATTTGCTGTGACGTTTGGATGCAGTTAACGTTGCTTTTAAATATAAAGGAGGATGGATCAACGTAACACGTTATATTTAACTTATCAACCCCGGTACGTTCTCCGATTCCTTTAAATTATTTATACACAATGAGTCAAAACATTAATATGACAAGGGACGCAAAACCAAAAGTAAAGAAAAGTGAGCCCCCAATCGTTACAAGACGCAAATATTATACGAAAATACGAGAACTAAAGAAAAAAATCTGGCAAAAAATCAAAGATCAAACCGAGAACATCTTCAGATGTCTAGACGAAAGATATGGTGAATTTGCTAAGCAATAAATCACAGTGACCCAAATGCAAAGACAAATCGCCAGACAAGACCAACAGCTGATGCGAAACGAGTTGGAGATCATCGGGGTACCGGAACTAAACAACGGAAATGTTACTCATATAGTTTTGCCAGCTGCTCAAAAACTAGACATCGAACTATCTGATTCTAACATAGACGACGTAATGAAACTTGGTCCTAAACGTGTATTGGGCGTAAACTTTTCTACCGCGAACTCAAATCAGCATCAGCAGCAGACTTCAAAAAAATTGTTGGTTTGAAACTTTAAGTGTTTCGATTTTATTGAAGACTAACTTTCGCCAGCGGCTTCGACCGCGTGGTTCCTAGGGAACAGTTTAGTGATGAGGTGAAAATCATCTAAGTCAGCTAACCCTATCTGTATACCAAATTTCATCAAAATCCGTTCAATAGTTTCGGTGTGATTGACGGACAAACATCCAAACAAAATAAACTTCATATTTATAATATTAATATGATAAAAATTTGTAGTATTATTTCTCTATTTTCAGTCTTCTATCTTTATTACGATGATTTAAGTCGGTTTATGTATATTAATAGAACTTACTTCTAACTAATAATAAATACAATAATTTCCAGTTTTAGCAGTTCTAACCTAACCTATCCCACAATTCTGGTAACAGTTCGTTTTTTAAGTCATTAAGTAAGTTTTCTCCTAAAATAATAATCATCATTTATTTTCTTCCGCAAATGTTCTTAAAAATAACATCAACAAGTGCCAAAGCAAACAGTCATGTCAAGGGAGACTGGACCCAGACACTAAGCCCAAAATGAGGCTTGATGTTTTCAAGTCACCAAGCTTCTGCTCCGATATTGCAATTTTTCTAATTCGCATTTTATTTAAATTGAAATTAACAAATTAATCAAAACTGTCATGCAGCAAACAATGTTTTAGTACTTTAATATTTGAAATCATAGGTCGAATATGTATGTATATAAATATATTTTGTATTACTTTTGTTAAAACAACACTTTAGTAAATATTATTTTATATATTTTAAAAATTAAAATATGTATGTAGTAATTTATATTATACATATATTAATTAATAAAATAAATACATAAAATGTTATGTTGTTTTCTAAGTTGAAACAGTTATTAAAACAGTGAACAGTAATTCAAGAAAAACGTATAATTTCAATCCAATATTTAATTTACGAGAAATACGTTGTCAAACTTATAAACGCATACATACAAAATGTAGCACACGTGTTTAGAAGCCCATAGACCAACATAATTATGTGAGTATTACGCCATTCTGACGAAATGAGGATTAAAAAGGAAGTATTAAAAAAAGTTCTAAAAAAGCACCTCACTAGATGGCGGCTCTAGCAAAAGTTGATTTTTTGGACCAAAGACAGTCATTTCCGTCCTTTTAACTAACATATTGAAAAATTAAAAATTTGCAAACTTCCAAACATAGTTATCAATTCAAATACGAAAAAGTACAAATAGAATATGAGTTTTTAAAATTAATTTACTTTTATACATGAAATAAAACATGGAGAAATCAAGAAAGTACTGTAGCTACATCTAATTTCACTTCGAGAACTATTGGTTTTTTTTAATATTGCCTCATTACCTATATATACCTTGACTCGATTGGCTGCCCATTACAAAGTTAATAATACATGTAATTAATCAATCTTCCTACATCGAACTGACCCTTATGAAGTGAGTAAGCAACTCCAGAATGGCAATTCACCGGGTTTTGATGGATGCACTCCAATATTTATAAAACGTATTAAACATCTAATAATTTAACCGCTTGCTTACATATTTAACTTAAGCATGTCCTATGGTGTATATCCTCACGCACGCACCCAAGCATGCACGCACGCACGCACGCACGCACGCACGCACGCACGCACACACGCACACACGCACGCACATAATGAACAATGTGTAAAGTCAATCATTATATTAATGAAATTCTAACAATTGGTATTCATTGAATACTTTGCAACTCACCCGGATCGGGTTCCCATCATAAACGATAAAAATTAACAATGTACTGGATAATAACAATACACAGTACTTACATGTCCTATGTTCGACCTGTAAGTACTGTAAGTACTCAGTGCAAAAACCACTGACAATTCTTAAATATAATATTGTAAATGGTGAATTTTTTTTTCCGTTTTCTTGATTAAGTCAAACATATTTTATTTGTTACAAACTAGACTGCATTTTATCATAGAAGACCCAATAACAAATAATTTAAACATCTAATAAGAACACCACGAGCGCCATCGGCGATGTAATATAACATAAGCGTGCTATTTCGAATCAATGAATCCTGTACTGTATAGTTTTATTTAATTAAGCGGTACCTACGATAAGATATATTCATATATTTTTATAATATAACATATATATATTTATTTATGCAAAATGTTCTCTTTAATCTTTAGTCCTTGACCAAGTCAATACAAGTCTATAAAGGAGAGGATCGTTTGATAATTATTCTAAAAAAAAAAAAACTACATGACATCTTTGTTTGATATTGTTTAATGTAGTGAGTTTGTAAGTTGTGTATGTTTTATGTAAAATATAACATATTTAATTTAATTATTATTGATAAATTTGTAATTAATTTTAAGCAATTCTAATAAAATTGCACTTCTAAAGTGTCACAGGCTATTGATTTGGTTTCAATATCTAAATTTAGACACTCAATCAATACTAACCAACCTCTACAAAAAGAACAATAAAAAAAAAAACAGTAATCAATTGGTTATAATATATTAATATAAGTAATGTACGATATTTACAACGGTACTCTAGCCGTGCCTCTATCGGCCCAACTAACGTGTCTATAGAATTCCCTAATACCAGTATGGTACAGTGGTATACCGCTCAGCACAGAAGCTTTAGCGGATACTATCCTCACCGCAACATAATCGCCGGGCTTCACTGACCTCTTACCGCCGTCCTCGGTCAAAATCTCTTCTTGATCGAAGACCACCTTTATATAAAGTTCATTTCTGCCCATCAACTGACCGGTTTTCTTTACGGAACCCTCCACTAAAACCAAATGTGTGTTCCCTATTTCCGCCTCGTTCAACATTTGACATTTCCTACGGTATACGTTCAACATACGGCTGTGTCTTTCCTTTTTTACATCCTCGGGGACGTCGTCTTTGTACCTCCGGTAGGCTGTTGTTTTCTATGAAACAAAAATAATAACTAATTAATATTTACACGTAGTAGCTCGGTGGCGTAGAGGATAAGCGCCGCGGCCCGCGATCGTAGTCGTTAAGCAACTTTCGCAAGGGTCGGTCACGGGATGGGTGACCAAAAAAATTATTATCTCGAGCTACTCCGTGCTTCGGAAGGCGCGTTAAGCCGTTGGTCCCGGCTGCATTTGCAGTTGTTAATACCCTCCAATCCGCATTGGGCCAGCGTGGAGGGTCATGGCCCATCCTCCTTAACCATCCATAAGGAAGGCCTGAGCCCCTGCAGTGGGGACGTAAAAGGGCTGGTGTGGTGTGGTAATATTTACACTGTTTACATTGAAAGGGCAACATTACTTGTCGGTGTGCACATCACATGAGAATGGAATCCATAATCAATATTTCGTATTAATAAATATATTCATTATACAAAGGAAAACTCTATGTGCAATACTGTTCAATAGTGGAAACATTGAAGATGTAATTAAAAAAAAAATTCGAAACCAATACTTTTTTGCCAAGTTTTAAATTGATGCGTCTGAGACGTCAATGAACGACAACGAAATTTGCGAACAGAGAAAAATGTCTTCTCAAAAGGAAAAATAAATAATATTAAATATGATTTATACTTTAAGTCATGATATGCATTTCCCGTTGCTAAAAATCTTAAGATTACAGCTAACCGTTGCTTAGCGCTTACACTAGGTCTAAATAACGTATATTGTTTTTTTTAAAATTAGGTATGCCCAAGTTTAATATATAATCAAGTCGTGCAGAACCCATTCTGTAGTAGTTCAAACTGCATAGTTGGTCTCTTAGAAGCAAATATTTTTTCACCCAACATTTTGTTTTATTATTTACGCCCGCAGTTAAAGTATGGGCTATGCCAATTTTTTGGTACTTTGTGAGCACAGGAGCCATCCTTTCAACGACACGTTTGCATGCCAACTGAGTTAGGGAAGCGATCTAGTGCAGTGTAATCACAACGACGCCAACTGCCATAAATCGAGGCCGATATATCGGGCCCAATAGATCGGGTAGTGAAATCGGCGCTTGACTTATGTTTGTTCTCACTCACCTCTCGCATACTGTAAGGGAAGAGGAACGCGATGTTGTAGTCGACAATTTCCAAAAGCGATAGCGTTTCTTGAAATTCTTCTTCGGTCTCGCCGCAGAAACCGCATATCATGTCCGTCGACAGACCCACTGAAATATGACATCACAATTGAGAAAAAAATGAAAAATTATTATTGTGATACAATTGTGATTTTAGCAGAAGGTCCCGTTAAATATTTGTTTAATTGTAATTTAATAATTTATTTTTAAAGTTACTATATGAACACGCATTATGTAAATAATTCGAACCTCTACCTGTCGTCGTTATCAAAATCGAACAAAAACAAGCAAAAAAAAATCCCCTTTATACATACCGGCGGGCACGGCGGCGGCGGCGCGGCGCACTAGCGCGAGGTAGGCGGCGCGCGAGTAGCCGCGGCGCATGCGCTGCAGCACGGCGCTGCTGCCGGCCTGCGCGGGCAGGTGCAGCAGCGTGCACATATATATATATACATACCGGCGGGCACGGCGGCGGCGGCGCGGCGCACTAGCGCGAGGTAGGCGGCGCGCGAGTAGCCGCGGCGCATGCGCTGCAGCACGGCGCTGCTGCCGGCCTGCGCGGGCAGGTGCAGCAGCGTGCACATATATATATATACATACCGGCGGGCACGGCGGCGGCGGCGCGGCGCACTAGCGCGAGGTAGGCGGCGCGCGAGTAGCCGCGGCGCATGCGCTGCAGCACGGCGCTGCTGCCGGCCTGCGCGGGCAGGTGCAGCAGCGTGCACATATATATATATACATACCGGCGGGCACGGCGGCGGCGGCGCGGCGCACTAGCGCGAGGTAGGCGGCGCGCGAGTAGCCGCGGCGCATGCGCTGCAGCACGGCGCTGCTGCCGGCCTGCGCGGGCAGGTGCAGCAGCGTGCACATATATATATATACATACCGGCGGGCACGGCGGCGGCGGCGCGGCGCACTAGCGCGAGGTAGGCGGCGCGCGAGTAGCCGCGGCGCATGCGCTGCAGCACGGCGCTGCTGCCGGCCTGCGCGGGCAGGTGCAGCAGCGTGCACATATATATATATACATACCGGCGGGCACGGCGGCGGCGGCGCGGCGCACTAGCGCGAGGTAGGCGGCGCGCGAGTAGCCGCGGCGCATGCGCTGCAGCACGGCGCTGCTGCCGGCCTGCGCGGGCAGGTGCAGCAGCGTGCACATATATATATATACATACCGGCGGGCACGGCGGCGGCGGCGCGGCGCACTAGCGCGAGGTAGGCGGCGCGCGAGTAGCCGCGGCGCATGCGCTGCAGCACGGCGCTGCTGCCGGCCTGCGCGGGCAGGTGCAGCAGCGTGCACATATATATATATACATACCGGCGGGCACGGCGGCGGCGGCGCGGCGCACTAGCGCGAGGTAGGCGGCGCGCGAGTAGCCGCGGCGCATGCGCTGCAGCACGGCGCTGCTGCCGGCCTGCGCGGGCAGGTGCAGCAGCGTGCACATATATATATATACATACCGGCGGGCACGGCGGCGGCGGCGCGGCGCACTAGCGCGAGGTAGGCGGCGCGCGAGTAGCCGCGGCGCATGCGCTGCAGCACGGCGCTGCTGCCGGCCTGCGCGGGCAGGTGCAGCAGCGTGCACATATATATATATACATACCGGCGGGCACGGCGGCGGCGGCGCGGCGCACTAGCGCGAGGTAGGCGGCGCGCGAGTAGCCGCGGCGCATGCGCTGCAGCACGGCGCTGCTGCCGGCCTGCGCGGGCAGGTGCAGCAGCTTGCACACGTTGGCGCGCTCCGCCACCACCTGCAGCACCTACACGCACCCCCGCAACACCGGTCAACAAAAAGTCAAAAATGTATGCGCGGGGGCAGGGGAGATGTAAACCCAATATCAAGTCTATTTTCGAATCGCTTTTGAGACTCCAAAGAACCCGAGCGACGCCGGTTCTGATGCTCGGACAATTTTTGCAGATATGATTTTTAAAACAAAATTACAAGAACTGTTTGAAATTTTCCAAATTTTCGTTTGAGAATTCATTGAATGGGCCCTCGGGCGTTGTGCTATAGATAGATAACAAATTTACGGAGAAAACAAATATTCTTATTTGTCCCGATCGGCAGTCTCATCACCATGTCTCTTCCGGACCTTTGACGGAGAGATGAATTTTATTAAAAAAAAATATGGACGCAAAAAAAAACAAAATTACTTAGATAATAAGAAAAAAAGTAGTGCAATAACCTAATATCATAGAGAATAAAATTAAATTGTTCATTTCCTCTCACGTCCGGAAAGAAACGTCGTCCGCGAACGGCGGCGGCGTAGACTTTAATAATTCGAGCGAAGTTGCGGGAAAATAGCTAACCGTTCTTAACCCGACGACGACTGGGCATGTTGACAGGTGAAGACAGTTTAGGTATAACATTTTTACGTAACTGTGTACTTTTTATAAAAATGGTTTCAAACAAAAGACCATATGACATTAATATCTATACAAATATTATAAAGTTGAAGAGTTTGTTTGTTTGAACGCGCTTATCTCAGGAACTACTGGTTCGAATTGAAAAATTATTTTTGTGTTGAATAGACCACTTATCGAGTAAGGCTTTAGACTATATAAAATCACGCTGCAACTATTAGGAGCGAAGAAATAATGGAAAACGCGGACGAAGTCGCTGGCGGCCACTATTATTTCTATGTATACATCCTCAAGTCAACTAGTATTCTACAGATGTCTAAATTCTTATTGATGATTTCACAAAATAATGTTTGAACTCCACCTCATCAGGAAAATCCTTAGGATGGGCCGCCGTGAATCTTATCCTCATCTCCGGGTCGACAGATGACACTTTATCTAGTAAATCTGCAAATCTGAGACCACCCATCTTGCTCTTGTAAACAGTCTTGAAACCTAATTTTGAAGTAAATATATGTAAAGTTTACATAAATGTTCAAATAAAATTCAAAAAACAAAGGCGAAGGATGGATAAGTTTAAATTAATTTTATAATTTTCGTCCAACAAATACAAAGAATATTTTAAATACAAAACTTGTTAATCATAGAATTAATACATTATATCAATGTATATTGATACATACTGACTCTAATTACCCACTTGAAATACCAAAAGCATTGAGATAAAAACACTTTATACAAGATTTAAGTAAATCAAGTGTTTTTAAGTATCATTTCAATATTTTGAATGAGTAAACTGATTAATAATGAAAAATAATGATCAGTTCATCAATCAAAATAAGGATATTTATTTTTGATTTGTTAATTATAAAAATGATTTATTTCTAGTTTTTCTTGTTTTCACCATTCAAATCACTTAAATCATCCTTCCAAATTTATCAATATTACTTGTATATTAATCAAAAACATTAGCAACAATAATTCTAGCATACAATTTATATATGTATAAAGTAAAATCTTATTTAGCGCACCAAAACACGTCTGAACATGCTTGGCCTGGTACCACAAGTGACACCCTTTCGCGAGACATTTATTTCTATTGAGAAAGAAGCACTGTGAACCAAATCAAAATAGTATTCATATAGAAGCTTAATGAGAGTTGTATTTATTCATGTCAAAACAAAAATATGTTCCTACATCCTGAACTAAGCAAAAGTTCAAAAACATGTTCTAAACTTGAATTTTTATTTTTCGAGTGTGTAATGGGGGGAAAGTGTTATCTGTTATATTTCAATTTCATTAAATGAATACCATTGTAAACAAACTCACCCTCAGCCAGTTTTGTTTCATGTTTCACAGTATGTTCAGTTATATCTCTATAGCTGTTCACATTTTGTCCGAGCAACGTAACCTCTTTGACACCTTGATCAGCTAGTCGCCTGACTTCATCCACGATGGATGATACAGGGCGTGATCGTTCCCTCCCTCTTGTGAATGGTACTATGCAGTATGTACACATATTGTCACAACCACGCATTATTGAACTAAAAATGGCATAATTTCGATATACCTATTGGAACACAATAAATAAATTTAAATCTTATTTATTTATTACTTACATGAAAGCTGAGACACTATCTTGGTTTAGTCGAACTGGCACAACATCAGCATATGTCTCGTCTAATGATAGCAACACATTGACAGCAGTCTGCCCACTGTCTGTGAGAGCTAAGAGTCTTGGTAAATCTCTGTAGCTATCTGGACCAGCCACTACAAAAAATATAGTCATAATAATTTCAACAAATTTTCTAAAAAGCTACCAAATACATATTAACAGAATTCAATCATTTTATAGTATTTCTATCACCTTCATGATAGAACATTGAAACTTCTTATTAACAAAATATTTTTACATATCTTGTTCATTTCATAATTTTTCCAAAAACATCATAAACTGATAATATACTAAATCAGCTATAAAAATATTAGGTCTTTACCTATGAAATTGCGGTTCTTCATGAAATAAATGAAACATATTTTTTTTCTGTATTTTTTATTTCTATTAATCAAAGTAATCACAAATGCAATCAATGCATCTTTGCCAACGCATTGGTAACTTATTGATGCCCTTCTTGAAGAAACCAGCTGCATAGGAGGCAACAAATTCTACAAAAGCATTTTGTATTGCCTCTCTGGTACTAAATCTTTCTCATGCCAAGATGTCATCCAAATTCTGGAAGAATATTATATTTTGAATGGCAATTTTATAGGTAAAGACCTATTTATTATCTGTGTGTAATTGTTAGCTAGACATGTAATATGACTTGGGAATGTCACTTTTCTTGGGTGTGCCCATTATGATATCTCACTTTCTACATGAGAAAAGTGATATTTATAGATATATATAATAATTAAAAATAAACTGTACATCATAAATATTTTTACCATATGGAATTACCCAGATTTGTCCAAGTTTTAAAGCATCGGGTCAGGTGGAAGAGCCCATCTGCATGGGTTTAGTTTTTAAAAATGATAGTGCGTAACCCATAGACTTTTATGGATAAGCAATAAATACATCTTAGAAAAAAAATCATTCACACCACATTCAAGAAAACTCAGCAAAAAAGTTAACAAATCAACACCTCAACCAGTGACCTCGTGCTGCGTGCTCGCTCAAGCTACCAATCACTCATTCAATCACATGCACGCATAGCAAGTAAGTGAATTGCATGCATTAATACCCCTTTTGATATTGTGGCACTACAATTTATATAAGTTCACATATGTTTTTGACAGTTTTTTAATATCTATCTATAATTATGGTAACTTTTTTGAGTACATGAGAGACTATGATTATGAATTTAATAACAAGCTTTATAAATTAATAAAAATTGTAACAATATTTTTATTTTTGTTGCATAAAAAAAGACTTTTTCAGAGGTATCCAGGGAAAAACCAATATTTGACCCAAATGTCTGGATTTTTGCCATGTTTATCCAGCAATAGGTAGCAATTTAGGTGAAGGCTCCCCCTAACAATACATAATATGATGTCATACCCACATCAACTGCTTTTTCTTTCTCTATCAACTTCTCCTTGAGTCTTTCAGCCATGCAGCCCAGTATTCCAATTTTTACAGGTCTTTGTTTAAATTTAGAGACTTCTCGTCGTTTCTTGAATCCCCTCAAATGGTCTAAACGGTGCCATATTTTCGTTTCAGCTCCTTCCCGGATTGCACAAGTCATCACAAGGAAAATATCCGCTTCGTCTTCTACTTCAGTCCTCTCAAATCCCTCATTTTGTAGAATAGACCATACTATTTCTGTATCATTGAGATTCATTTGGCATCCATATATGTCGAAATAAACTTTCCTTTTCGTCGCATACTCAACATTGGCTAAATAAGGTATATAAGGACGATCTACCATAATAGGATGTGTCGAACTCTCTATGAAATTTTTCAAACCCGGGCCGTTTTTCAGTTTGTTTTTCATTGAAACTAATCTTACGGAATCTGAATAACACCGACATGTTTTAGATACTAATAAACACTTGAGTGGCTGGATTATATAGTTTTTGTTTTTTAATAAAAACATAACGCATATCTTTTTATTACTTTAGAGCCTCACTTATGCTTCTTCTTCTGTTTAATTAGTGGCGTTACCCTAAGCAATGGATTCTGGCGAAAACCTTATTTATTAGAAACAATCCAGTATCCAGTTTAACTATTAAATTTTTATGTAGTTTGTGTTATTGAAATTCAAATTGTAACCTCAAACTTTGCCTCAAACCTTCTTCTTTCAAACCAAGTATAGGGATTAATGATGTGCCGATTCGATTATTATAGAAATTGATTAATCGATTATAGAATAACTCGTAATTGTATCGAACACATAGGTAAATTTACCAAAGAGTAAAGTTACCTATGTCTCGTACATTCGAAAAATATTGAATTCTATTCCAGAATAAAACCAAAAAAAATACGTTCGAAAAGTTATTTGAATCTCGCACGCGCGCTATTTGAATCTAGCGCCCAAAAATGCTAAGTCAAGTAACATCGCTTGCCGCCTTTATATAAAGTTCAAAATAGTAGAGAAATCAAAAATTTTCAAGCGCGGTGTTAGCAAGCGAGATAGCAATAGCCCCGAATTCCCGATTGTTAGCGTAGGTAGATACACGAAGCTTCCAGAGTCGTATGCGCGGTATAAAAGCCTCGCTAACCGCAGCGACCGACAGTTCGGTTTTAATTTGATTGAAGTGTCAACAGAACGAAATAAGCGCGAAAATACAAAAAAGTAATTAGTGATTGAGAATAAGTGCAGTTTAAATAAACAGTATTGTAAAATATTGAAAAAAGCCTTTAATACCTCTAAAAAAAATTGTAATATACGCAAATTTGAAAATTCTCAAAATAAAACTAAATCATTGTGGCAAATTATAAATCACGAGACAAATAAAAATACAAGGGTAAATAAAAACTATCAGCTGAAAACTCTGGACAAACATTTAATATCCGACCCTAGGACGATAGCAAATACTTTCAACACCTTTTTTGCATCTATTGGCAATGAATGCACGGGTTCTAAAGATTACATCGGAACACCTTTAAAAAATCAAGTTGAAAATTCATTTTATCTAAGACCTGTAGAACATAAAGAAATTAAAAACATAATGAAAAACCTAAAATGTAAGACATCCTTCGGCATTGATGAAATTCCTCCCGTCTTGATAAGAAACTGTGCTGACCCACTAACTGCACCATGTACAACATTGGTAAATCAATCCTTCTCTGAAGGGATTTTTCCGGACGCTTTAAAAATATCTATTATTAAACCTATCCATAAAAAAGGAGTAACTACCGATATAAACAATTTTAGACCTATTGCTCTTTCACCCACATCTGCAAAAATTTTCGAATCCGCTATGACAGAACGCCTTTACAGTTTTTATGAAAAATTCAACATTTTACACGAAAACCAAAATGGGTTTAGGAAAAACCACTCTACTATATTGGCACTTTACAAATTCATTAAAAACATAATCAAGCAAATCAATAATAAAAGGTATGCAGTAGGGCTCTTGCTCGATATGAGCAAAGCTTACGAAAGAGTTCGTTACACAATTCTACTGGATAAGCTTTATCAAACAGGAATTAGAGGGATGGTTTAGATCATATCTCGATGGCCGCTTACAATACGTGGAAATTGAAAATATCGACTTCCAAACTGGAAAAATTTTAAAATCTAGGTCCGACAGTATCCATGTGGCTGGATCCATACCACAGGGTAGCGTCCTGGGATGTATTCTCTTTCTTATATATATTAACAACTTGCCAAACGTTCTCAATGATGATACATGTGTGCTCTTTGCAGACGATATTTCAGTTTTAATACCTTGTTCAGATGCCTCAGAATGTGAAAATATATTGGATTCAATATTGTATAAAATCACAAAATGGTTAGAAAACCACAATTTGCTTCTCAACCTTAACAAAACAAAAATTATTCAATTTAAACCTTACTCTATTCTATTCCCCCCAAATAAACAATAAACGGAACAATAGAAATTTAAATAAGCTAAAAGTACCCTTCTCTAAAATGCATTTAGTTACATCCAGCCCCCATTTAATGTTAATTAAAATATATAACCATATACCAAATCGCATAAAAAATTTAGGAAATCCTACACAATTTAATACAAAACTAAAATCATATCTTATTAATAAATGTTACTATAATATAAAAGAATTTTTTGAAGACAAATGTGACGAGCAAATATTAATTTAATTTATTTTTTACTTATTGTTTTTATATAATCTTTAGTCGCCTTTCATTGGGAATATTTATTTTGACATAATTTTCTATCTAATGGAATTTTATTCAAATTTTAAGGCAATGAACAACTAAATTATGAGATGTTTTTAATTTTAAATTATTGTTAATATTATATTCTCCTCTACATATTGCAATGCCCTTGTAGGGCGTCACATGTATACCTAAAACTTAGTTATGTATATCTCATTGTTTGTAATGTGACACGCAATAAATATTTTGATTTGATTTAAATAAAACAGAGAAATTATTATACTGGGAGGAACAAAATGACCGACACAGCCGAAAGTTGCAAGTCAGGTTACATGCAAACGTTCATTTTATTTGACAAATATTTCAAAATAGAGCAGGTGTAAAAATGGAGTAAAAAATTTAAATTTCTAAGTGTTGAGAGCCCTAGAACGCGCATGCGCAAGATCGATTGTGCGCAGTAACAACGGACCGCGAAATACATTAATTTAATTTAATTATTTACCGATATCTTAATGTTAGTCGATGCAGCAAAATATCCAATTCTTCCCTGAAGACAGCTAAGCACGCTCTTTTGCATGCCAGTGCATGCATGCACGCGCAAAACACATCACATTTCACACAAAACTAAACACAATCTTCACAAAACTAAACTTAACACTCAAGACGAACAATGTAGTAACTTATTAACAAAAATTTAAGTAAAAATGCACAAGAACAAAACAAAAATCGACAAAAAGTCGCTTCGCAGCGGTACGGTGGCAGTAATGGTATAACGTGCCTCACGCGCAAATGTCCGGCGGTGACTGAAACAAAGGCGCCGACGCCGATGGAACAAAAAAACCGCGCGCACGGTGAGTGAACGGAGTGAAAGAGACCGGTTCGCTTTGTCTTTGATAACTAGGGACGAATTCAGTTCATCTATTTTTCGAATTCGTATTTTGTTACCACGCAATTGTTTTTGTATTTTCTTTTTAAATACATTTTAAATAAGTAACCAAACCCTTACTCAGTGTTGTTATGTTAATGGATGATGTATTAGTTTAACTACTTTAATAAATGATCGTGTTATTTGATCCATTTAGTTAAATTTTTTTGAAACTCTGACTATTTGAAATAATGTAGTAACGTAATGTAAATTAGTTAAAATTAGAATAATCTTTTTACAATGATTTATTAAATGTTAGTCTATTAATTAATTTCAGCATTTTGACTGATTCGTTTAGTGATAATCAGTTTGAAATTGTTAAAAAATAGTTAACTAACATTACTTAGTTTTCGTTTGCGATTTTAGTTTTTTGATGATCTGTTGATAGCAGTTTGATAAAACTAGGACTATTTGACTTGTGAAATTAAAAAAAATGTAGGTTATTGAGAGTAATCAGTAGAGATTTTCTACTTTTTTCAAATCAGAACCGGCTGTTAGACTGTTAATCAATTTAAGCATTTTGACTGTTTAGTGATTGTCTGGTAGAATTTGCATGAAAGCAGTCTTATAAATCATAAACTAGTTTATTTCGTTTTTAGAAATGAAGAAGTCAATGACCGATTAAAAACTTTTTCCTTAGTACGTCCCAAAAACAGCTGACTCAGGGTTGAAAACATTCATTTTTTTCCAAAAACTTTGTAATTTAATATCTCCGAAACTATTTGACCTAGACCTATAATTTTTTTTACATCATATTAAAGACAAATAGTACTCTCCAGGAACCTCGGGAGTGTCGGTCGTTCTGTTCCACCGAGTATTTATCACAATTTCTCTTACTGTAATAATTACTTCAGATATATTTCAGATATAAAATCTGTATAAAAATCTTAAAATTTCTGAGGAATAATCTCTACGCTCATGAATCATCCTTTCAATGCAATCTGACACTTTCCAGATCACAATTGAATTCTCGAATTATAAGAAAATGGCTGAACAATTCAACAAAACAGCGATTAATTTCAGTTATATAGAAAAGCTAGATATTTTGATTCAATCTTTTCAAGACAGATTTCGGAGTTTAAAAAATTTAATCCTCTGTTGGACATATTCAGCAATCCTTTCACGATTTCAATTGAAATGCGCCAAAGTCAATGCAGTTAGAAATAGGGTATATGACACATTTCTGAAAACTATTTTAAATCGTTGTTTGCTACATAATAAACACACTGTCATAATATTTAATTTGGAATCTTTTCTATTTTTGGTGAAAATAATTGTTAAAATTTAAATAGCCAAAAGCGCGCGAAAAACGCTCCTCTATGTAATGGCGCTGATCGTGACGTCACAGGCCAGTAAATATGTCAAATCGATAAGTAACAACTGTCTTTAGAGTAAATTGTAATAATAATTTAGAAGAGAAATAGGGATGACGACTGGGTAAGGAAAATGCAATTCTATTTAGTCCGTCAGTCAGATAATAGAAAAATATTAGATACGTATTTTTTTTTACTTCAATTTAACAAGAAATAGCTTAGATAACAGGCATTAAAGTTCAGGAGTGGGGGCTCGCTACGTCACAGTTTAGTAGAAAACGTACCATAACGTGACGTCATGCGAAATTTCAACTCCATGTAACACTGTAATTTTATGATTGCAAAAAAAATAAAAAAATACGTGTGTAATATTTTTTAATACTCTACCTGACGGACAAACAAACAAAAATTAGTCGTCATCCCTATTGAAGTCGTAGTGCGTATTTTTTACGTTTTTTTTTCCTCTGCTCTGGTTTTCTTTAAAAAATGAGCTACAAGTGGTGCGTAGTACCACAATGTACTACTTCTATAAATAACAAACAAACTTCGAGTCTAGAAGAAAATAGATTCACAATCACAATAGTATAGTAACTATATAGAGTAGAGATGGGTGATAAAATTAGGTAAGGATTCGCTAAAAGTATTCAAACTTTTTTATTTCATATCGATACATTTCAAGGTTTTCTTTTTGGTTTTTTTCTTTATCATAAACATTTGACGACTCATTTATATTTGTTGACAGGGCTCGCACTTTACAGCCTGTCGACCCACAGATGGATGAGACATTAGTACAATAAAGAATGTTCTATTTTTTTTATACATGCATGTAGTACAGTCTGTCTATAAAGTCATGAAAAGAATGTTTGAGGAACTAACATTAGACACAAGTATGACAACACTGAATCAAAGTACATCGACTGTCAACAACTTGATTTTTTAGCTCGATTTTCTGCATTTTTGATTTGTTTTGATTAAACTGAAGCTACTTCTTCTAAACTTCGTAGAAAAGTGTTAAAAATGAAGAGAATTAATCGGAGTGAAGTACAGGATATTATTTATAAAGTTTTTCAGTGATGTTTATTGGAACAAGAAGCTGGACACAATTTATCATATTTGTAGGATGTTAAAGCTCGAACGGCAGTTATGACTGGTATGTAATCGTGTTACTGATTGAGTTTTGGTTACCAGAAGTTTCAAATTTACTAAATATATGAATTTAAGTCTAAAATAAGTATTGTTTACATTATGCATTTATAGGTTAGATTGAAAATGTTAGAAGGCTATATTGTAGTGCGGCACGAACTTTTAATACTTTTGGATAATCAAATTTATCATTGATTTTCATCTGAATAAAAAATATACCTGTTAGGAATGTACGATTTTTACTTACGTACGCCAATAAAAAGTTTGTGCTTTATATTACTAAAATTATAGCATTAATTTGATCATTGTGGCGATTCCATTCTTTTTGCCAAATACCTATAGGTATTACATTTTTAAAACTTACTTTCAGGAAAATCAGAGAATATAGTGATACGTATTGTAGATGAAGGCTATAATGGTGGCATATTTGAAACCCTTGGAAAACATAGATAGTCGTCCTAAGAAATAAATGGTTAACTGCAACATTTGTGCACTTCGACAAAAGAATCAGTTCTTTTACTCTGTGAAAAGAAGAGGTACCTACATGAAGAAAACATCAGTGGATTGCCAAAACCGATCTGGATTTTAATTGTAGCCTAGAAGTCCTGCGTTAAATTCAGAAATAGATTGGGTTTTCATACAAGGAGTGTCAAAGTAACAGGCTTTAATCGAACACAAGCACACATTGCAGTAAAACGAGAAAACAACTTGGCAATTATAAAAAAAAAGATTTATCAAAAATTACGATTACTATATTGTAATCTTCAATGTAGAATAAACTCATTGTCTACGAATTATACGCCTTTCTTTACCTTTTCTGGGGTAATAAAAGTAAAAAAAAATATCCGGTTTATTTTACTATAAATAAAGAAAATCCTACTATCAAAATCATTTGTCTCACTACACAGGGTTGCTACGTGCACGATCACAGCGCCCTCAATTTTTTTCATGACTTTATAGACAGACTGTATATATGTCCACTAAATGCATGGCAATTTGATAATTAGATATCAAATTCCGATGATTTTTTGAAATTAGTTTTAAGCTTGGAGAACAGTATACCCGATGGAACAGAACGACCGACACTCCCGAGATTCCTGGAGAGTACTATTTTTCTTTAATATGATATAAAAAAATTATATGTTTAGGTCAAATAGTTTCGGAGATATTAAATTTTAAAGTTTTCGGAAATAAATGAGTGTTTTCAAACCTGAGGCAGCTGTTTTTGGGACGTACTAAGGAAAAGTTTTTAATCGGTCATTGACTTCTTCATTTCTAAAAACGAAATAAACAAGTTTGTGATTTATAAGACCGCTTCCATGCAAATAATACCAGACAATCAATAAAAAAGACAGTCAAAATGCATAAATTGATTTACAGACTAACAGCCGGTTTCTGATTTGAAAAAAGTAGATAATCTCTACTGCTTATTCTAAATAACCTAAGTTTTTTTTATTTCACAAGTCAAATAGTCCTAGTTTTATAAAACTGCTATCAACTGATCATCAAAAAACTAAAATCGAAAACGAAAACTAAGTGATGTTAGTTTGAGACTTTTAACTTTAAATTCTATATTCAGAAACCGAGTGTAAAATTTTCTAAATTATTGTAGAGAGATCAGTCTAACATTAACCTACGTTATTATAAAAAAGCAGTTCTCCAAAAAATTGTTTGAATGAGGTAATACTCCTTTAACAACGGCATCGTTAATTAAACTCGATAAACTCACAAATCTTCCAGCGATTCATCATTAACACAAATGAACTTTGTTTTAAAAACATTGAGGAATTTGTTATTAAAATAGCATTTAAAAAGAACATTAAAAAATACGTGATATCAAAAGACGAATAAAAAATTGTGAACCAAGTTCGTCCCTCAATATCAAAGCCCCAGCCGCCAGGCAGCATTATTATTCTGTCGGTATTTTCCGGCCGATCAGTCGCCGCCAACCTTTTGCGCTGGAGTGTTGTTGCGCATCGCCGCCGACGCACCGCTGCGAATAGTATTTTGCGGTCCATTGTTATCTGCGCACAATCGATATTGCGCATGCGCGTTATAGGGTATCTATGTGCTCTCAACACATAGAAATTAAAAAAATGTACTCCATTTTTACACCTTTATTTTGAAATATTTGTCAAATAAATCGATGTTTGCATGTAACCTGACTTGAAACTTTCGGCTGTGTCGGTCATTTTGTGGCTCCCGGTATATCATCAAAATCGACTTTGTAATTTTGAATTATTATATAAAAGTTCAAGAAATGAGAAAAACATGTAAGTTGCTCTTTTTTAAATTGCTGGCGTTTTCCCTATTTCTTGGATTTTTTAAAAAGCTTAGTAAATGATTCTTTCTTTCTGTATTTCTTTTTGGCAGTTCTTATCAGTAGAAGCGGCAAAGTATTCTGTTATCAGTAATTTACTATAAAGTACTCGATACCTACAGGCATCGATATTTTATGTATCTTCTAACACTACTTTGACATGACAGCTGATGACGTCACAGGCCAGTAAACAGAATCGTGATTGGTTGTGACGACGACCAATTAATTATAGGACGTTTTCGTCGTTGAATAAATTCCTAAAAATATTGCATTTTCTTTACGTTATTTTACTAAATCTAAACATGTTTTTTCTGCAGATGTTAAGAAATAAGCTTTATTAGATTATTATCTATCAGGATGACCACAAAATGCAGCTTATTTTCGATAGTGTCAAATACCCTATTATCGATATTCAATGCGACCAAGATATACGCAACAATTCAACGAAGGAGACTTGCTGAACTTTCACAGCTGCATTGATAAAAATATGTACGAAGTGTTGCGCATAAACGCTCTGAAATGTACCAGCTTATTTGGTTCTACCTATATATGTGAATTTTTAATATTAAATAATAATAAAACAAAAAATCGAAACCGCCTTGCAAATGAAAGTTTGGAAGCAATTTTACGTGTTGCTACAGGTAAATTTGAGCCCAATATAAAAAAGATTGAATTAATAAATTATTTTTTAATTTTAATAAATTATTATCAATTCTTTATTGTCTTTAATTACCTTTACTTCTGGCGGCCGGCCCGCTATCAGTTCATGATTTGCCCGAGTGGCCCCTAGTCTTAATAAGTCTGTGCAAGCATGTTTTAAACTATTCCTATTGCTAACATTTAAAGAAATAATCGATGGTTAAACGTAGATTATGAAATCATAATCGATAGCATTTGATTATTTGAATAATCGATTATTGGTAATCGATTCCGCACACCATTACTTTATTTGTTTGCTCTTTGGAAAAATAAATATGGCTTCTAATTGTCTTTTACATTGACAAAAATAATATCGCATTAAAGATTTCGCATCAGCTTTAACTTATTTCGTGAAGATTTGTATACAATCATCGATGTCTAACCGCTACAGTAATTACAAAGGTATTCGAATAGTATGGAATGTATGATAGCCAAAACAAAGTCGTGTCAATAAATTTTACGTATTTGTTTACTCAAATACGCATTTGTATTTATCTTTGCCAGTGTTTTCGCATTGGCAGGGTCGGTTCGAGCCCCCCGTGATGATTCTAGGACTGGTAAAGAAGGATCTTGGGACATCGGTGAGCGGGGTCGATCGCGCTCGCCTGTATGGTCCGCCTCGACTAGCAGACAATCCGTGGACAGAGTGGAAAGGACTAGTAATCAGGACAAACACGTGAAACATGAATATGAAGGTAATACCACTTATTATTTTAAAATGAGGAATGAAATGGCTGTTATGTTTATTTTTCAACACATTATTTATAATTTTTAAATGAATTATCTTTTTACACCACTTACCCGTTAGCATTATTTTAGGAAACAATATAAGGTTATCACCAAATGAGTGGGAAGATTCTGATGAAGATGTGCCAGCACCACCACCTCCTCCTCGCATAACTAAAATATCCATTGGCTTCACAAAGCCCAAGGAACCAATTAAAATGACATTGAGTGGTGCATCCAAACCTGCCGCGAGTGCACCTAAGCCCGCAGTGGCTTCGGTGTTCAATAATGATGATGATGATGATGAGCCAGAAGAGATGCCAGCTGAGGCTCGAATGAGGATGAGAAACATTGGAAGGTAGGCAATTAACTGCCATATGGTGTTTATTTGACTCTATTAAATGTATTGGTTTCTAGAAGTGCACAATTTACTTTAAGTATCTGCTGTACAAAGATTAAATTTGTTTAACATTAAATGCTCATCTGTACTCTGTATTATTATTTATATAAATAGGAGATTCAGACTATATCTATTAAAATAAATATTGTTATTTATGTTTTCAGAGAAACTCCCACATCTGCTGGACCAAATTCATTTGGCAAAACCAAACAAGGATTCTGTGATGCAAAGAAAGTCTTTGAAAAGAATCTTAAGCAGGCTCTAGAAACAAACCAAGTTGAAAAACCTGTAGGGAAATTTCCTCAAACCATATACAAAATAAAGGGTCCTTGATTAAAAGGCATAAAATTAATAGCTATTGTAATATGAATAATTGGGAACATACTTTCTCTTAGCTCCTTTAGTCTGATGTTATATAAAATTGAAAGATTTATTAATTCAAAAAATTATAAATTATGTATGATACTATTATGTAATGCATTGTGGAGTACAATCAACAGCATTTCGGGTTACATAAAACTGTCAAACTCCACATTAATTTAACTGAATGCTTTAGAGGTTCAGTTTAAAATCAACTGTGGAAATTTGACAAATTGTAACCTGACATGCAATCATTTATGATAACTTTAGTATACTTCAGTAAATATAGATTCCCAATTATTAAGCTGTACCTTATATTTGTAGTTATCAATTTTTTTTATTATAATGTAGTCTATTGGTTTTAAACCAATGTTGCTTAGCATTACGATTTTAAGGTTTTCAGTCATTAATAAATTCATATTAATTATATTTAGAGCCTATGTGATGAATCTTGACATAATTATACATGTACACAAAAAAAATCTGCCTTTGATTTACAACAATTGGGATTTCTCATGATATCGGTTGCTGCTCAAAACTATTTCATTATCATTGAAATGAATCGAAATATCCACCAAAGTGCAAGTCGGAATTACACACAAAGGGTGCCATCCCATTATCTACAAAAACAGCTAAAATTGTAACTGGTGTATGTCCCTTCAATATCTGTATAATATTTAGTGAATATACCTATTATTCTGTGAATATTTTAAGTGTCTACCTATCACTTAACAATATTGAGCAAAAAATCAATAATTGTATTAAGTATAATTAATTGGAAACCCTAAAAATGTACACAACCTTAACCTGTTATAGATACTGAACTAATTCTGGCACCGCTGCCTTGTCTGTCATTAGCACAGAACAAGGAAAAAGACAACACCTTCTTAGATCTTAAAATGAATTCTTGAGCAATCATCTACAGCTTATTATCAACCTTTTTGTCCAGCAGCACCAAAAAAGGCTGAAGAGGCTCTGCCAGCTTGATATACACCATTCCAATAACTCATTTATCTGTAAGACTATGCATCATGGGAAATTTAATTCAGTTCTGGAATTCATATTTACATTTTTCAAGTTTACTCTAAACACAAGTTGAACAAGCATAAGCTGTAATTTTAAGAAATTTATTATAAATACAGAGCTAGCTAGCAGAGTTCCAACCAACTAAAGTACTGAAAGACAACCTGCCACCTGCTTGAAAGTTGCCCTGCACCAGTTTGGATGTTATTACAGATTATAACAATTTTCAATGAAACAATAGGTAGGTTTTTGATCTTTTTATTGTAAGCTTACTTCCTCTGAACATTTTGTGGGCGGTTCATATCCCTTGGGAAACTGCTCTTGGGTGGAGTGCGGATCCTCCTGTCCTTCTTTGACCTGTTACGGACCACTTTACTGTGGATAGCGCATGACACGCAGTAGTGCAGTTTTGCATATAATTTAGGCAACTGGAATGCTGTGGAAAAAAATAGTCATTTGTAATCACCACTGATTCATACTAGTGTCTGCAAAATATATCTACTGGTTTACTTTGGTCTTAAGGGCATAAAAACGAAACAGAAATGAATAAAGTCAAAGTCAACTTTGTCAACTCATGGCTTTCTATGATAAACCAAATGCACTGTAAATATAGTTTATAGTGTACACATATATTTGATGAAAATAAAATGCAAATAATATTTTTGGGCTGATTCCATAAAGATGGCCAATAAAAAAATATTTTTTCCAAAACTTGCATATATGCGAGTAAAACAATCGTTTAATAGTTAAAACTTGTAGTCTTAAAAATCTATTACTATTATATACGTACTTGCATATACGGAGGCTTCGTTAATATCTCTGACGGCGGCCGCTTCGACGATATTTCGGATGACAAATTTCTTGATAGCTTTGTCCTTAGGTACACAACGAGCGCAATTCGTGCATCTTACAGCTTTCACGTGGCCACGACCATGCTTGGCACGTCCTCCATTGCGGCGTTTGCGAGTCTGAAAACAAATTTCATACTGTCTTGAGGCCACATGCTCAAACGATTCGACATGGTTACTTACAGATATTCTTATCTTTCATGAGACACTTTTCACATTATTCATGGTAATATGTCTTAAGGGTAAAATTTTAAGAAATTAATTGCAAAAGTATACATTTTAGTAATTGTTTTATTGATAAAAGTTTACGCACCATGTTTCTAACCTCTGAATCAGTATACGAAGAAAGACGGAAAAGAGCGCTTTTGGTATAGACAATCAATCACAGTATAAGCTGTTTCCGGTAACTTTTTTTAAAATACTATCGCCTTGTCTTTCATGTTTTTTGCTTACTAGTGACGAACCGACATAGTATTATTATTTTAACAATAATGATATAAAAACATAAAGTAAAAATAAATCAATTATGATTGATAAGCATTGCTATTACATAAGAACCTATATTACTATTGGGCTGTGTTACTTTTAACTATCTACACATGACTGCAGATCCAGGTGTCAAATTTTTGACCACTACTCTCAAATTGAGATTAAAATCATACCAATGATACCCTTTCCGTAAAATAATAAAATATCTTGATTGCAAAGTCACTATATGTAAAGTTTCCCTTTTAATTTTGGGTTTTATTTTATGCTGATGAATTTAATAGTTATTTATACATTTTCTTTTTTTGTGCCCGGTCTCACACGATGGTGATCATACATCATCCGTCAACCGTAATTAATGTTCTTCATAAATAATGAATCTTAACTGTATTTTTTTAATTTTAAAATCTATATAACATCTAATAGCGTAACGGATGCCATAGATTTAAAATATATACAGGCAGCCCCAAAACGACCGACACAGCTGAAAGTTTCAAGTTAGGTAGCATGCAAATGTTCATTTTTTTTTAACAAATATTTAACAATAGATCAGATGAAAAACTGGTGTTAAAAAAATAAATCTAAGTGTTGACAGCCCTTTAACGCACACACGCTCATGCGTTAGCGTACACAGAGTTTTACTATGCCTACACGTAATGACGATATGTGCAGATTACAACGGCAATTTAATAAGAACCAAGTTTAATGATGATTATTAATTACTGATGATTATAATAAGAACGGTAAGTATAGAAAAATCTGAAACTATAAAATATTGTATGTTAGTAGTAAGCAGTTAATACTTTGAAACACAATGCCTAAAATATATAAAATGCATTATCTACATATCTTTTTAATTATTATGCTGGTTTCATACAATATTAATTAACTGTGTAAAACCTTTTTAGTTTAAAAATCCAAACTGGACATTTTGAAAAATAAAATATACATAATTTATACTCGATACTGATAGTCTAAGTTTTAAACTTTTGATGTTATTATTAAATAAGAATTGCCTTCACTAAAAATTAATCCTATATCTCTATACTTGCTAGGAAGTTTTAAATATTACTATGTCAGTTTAAATATTTGATTTGTTCTTCGAGTTATAGTTTTTTGCACTTGTTAGCTAATGATTATTTACCATGCCATAATTGTTGTATAAAAATATGAGATGTTCATAATTAAGTCGCAAATCGGTTAGAGTCTGGCAAGCGAAACGTGTCACAAGAAAAGGGCGGCAATTTCAAAAATTCTTAAGCAGTAAACACTGAATGTAGTACTGCAAAATAATTTTGATACTTTTATTAATTATATTTAATCTTAACATTTAGATATCAATTAAAATTATTTGTTTTGGAACATTTGACTAAAGCGTGACTGTTCTTAATTGTACAGTTAACAGCATATCAGTAGGCCTATTCACTAACTCAACTGACAACCAAGAATCGTCATCACCGTAAAAAATAGACACTTTGATTGTGTCAAAATCACTATTTCGTATTCTCTATCAATGATGAGCAATTTCGAAATGTCAATATCGGCATTCTCCACTGGACTCCATTTTGACACTTGATTTCGTATCGATAAACTGTATTAAAGTAACATTGTTGCAAAGCATATTTGAAGTCGTCGCATAGTACCTCTTAAGCCATTTGTTGTTAAATTAAAGCGAAAAAAAATACGTATCCAATATTTTTCTATTATCTGACTGACGGACTAAATCGAATCTTTTTTTTAACCCATTCGTTATACCTATTGGCTAACAGCACTTATAATATTAAAAATTCATATTTGTCATTAATTAAAAGGGTGTTTTTTGCAACGACTTCTTTGTTTTTTTGTAATGAATATGGGCGACTCTGGCCACATTTTTTTTATAAATGTGATGTTAGCCAATTTTGATTTCTGGCCCTTATATTTATAATGTGTTCATAACACATACATGTCTCCTAAGGGATTTTCATCACAACCTTTTGCTCTGATCCAGAACCACTATCTATCAAATTAAATTAGTCAATATAAACACCAGATTACAATAAAAAAAACATTTATTTTTGTTACAATTAAGTGCCATGGATAAATTACATAATACAGGTGTCACAAAATCATCATGTTAATCACAATAGAAAATTTAAGATAAGATTTTGACTATGAATCAGACTAAAAATACTTTAGTCTGATTCATAGTCAAAATCTGTTTCTAAATATTCTACACCTGATAACAATGACAAGGAATCATCAGAGTCACTCTCTTCACTACTGTCTGCACCAACAGATATAATAAATTTTTCAAGTTCGTTTTCAACAATGCCATCTTTTAATTTGTAATCATTTTCGACATTTAAAACATGATCAGTGTATTTCTTCCAGTCACTAGGGGTAATTAAGTTAAAACACTCTATTATTAAGTTTTCCATTTCCTTTCCTGGTATTCCAATGTTTCTGCTTGCAATTTTTCTTTTTGCTTGACTCCAAACCATCTCTATTGGGTTTAAGTCACAATGATACGGTGGCAGCAATAAAAGTTCATGATTATGTTCTTTTAAAATCTCTTCAGCTTCATATACAGGCAATGTTTTCTTATCATTAACCAAACACATTAACTCTGCCTTTGTCTGATATTCCTCAAAATGTATTCCATTATTTACAAGCCATTTACGGATATCTGCTTTGGTATTAGACATTATAGGCGGTTTATTGATTTGTTTTATATGGTAGCTGGCATTATCCATAACAATTACACTGGGCTTACTTAAATTTGGTATTAATTTTTCTCTGACCCATTTCATAAAGTTCGATGAGTTCATATCATCATGATAATCAGCAGATTTGGATTTACTACTGAACACTAATAATGCACCAGGCACAAAACCTTCCTCAGATCCAGCATGCACAACAATATGCCGTTTTCCAGAGGATATCTTTGTAGTGACACCAGTTGTTGAAGGTCCTTGCCAAGACTTTTTAACTTTATAATTCTGATGTACATAAGTTTCATCAAGGTACACAATTTGCTTTCCTTCGTTTCGTTTTATATTTATTTCTCTCAAATACTTGTGCCTCCATGCAGAAATCTGGTATTTTTCTATAAGCATAGAACGTTCATTTTCATTGTATTGTATTGTATTGTTTCGAGTTGCGGATTATCTTGGGTTTATGCAGCCCAGTATCACTGCGACCATTGCTGATCTATTGTGATCTCCACATACTACAGTTCACGGTCAAGATTACATTCTACAAGGAACTGTAGTATTTTCTTGGCCGTAAGTTCTTTAATATCGTCTGGGTGCATCACGTGCTTTCCCAGATAGATACATCGTTTTCGCATTAGTAACGGGCAATCGGTCAAAATGTGCAAAGGTGTTTCTTCTTCCTCCTTGCATCCTCTGCACATTCTACTGTCGCTGATCCCCATATTGTGCATGTGTCTGTTCAGTCCACAATGCCCTGTGAGTGCTCGTACTAGTGTGCGAAGGTGAGTTTTGGTTAAGTTTAAGGCCTCTGATGCCGCCTTTTTGTTGAAGGTTTTAATCAGGGTCTTAGAGTGTTTCATACCGGGAGTGTTTCTCCATAGTTGAATAGCTGCGTAGTGGCAGTAAGTTTTCAAGGTGAGCTGGGTTAGGCTTTGAGGGATGCCACAGAAAGGTTCTGGTCCGATAAGGGCGTCTTTAGCACCCTTTTTCGCCAGTTTGTCCGCCTGTTCATTGCCCTCGTGTCCAGCGTGCCCTGGAACCCATCGTAGAACTACTTTGTTGTTGTTGCCCAAAGAGTTCAGTGTCTGTTTGCAGTTCTCGACCAGCTTCGATCTAGTTATGTCGGAAGCTAGTGCTAAGAGTGCAGCTTGACTATCAGAGTGGATGTAGATAGTATGATTGAGGTAGTTATTTTGCAGATTGGCTGCCGCACATTCCAAAATGGCGTACACCTCTGCCTGGAATATTGAGGAGTACTTTCCCATGTTCAGACTTATAGCCTTCCTTGGGGCTTCTCCATGAATTCCACATCCTACCTCAGGACCGGATTTGGAGCCGTCAGTGTACCACTTTAGGCTTCCATTTTTCCATACTATACGATTGTTTGACCAGTCGTCCCTGGTGGGTATCTCCACAAGATATGACCTGTGTGAATCGATTCTCGGGGGCATGGTGTCAGTAGGCATCCCCAGGATTGGTATATTGCATATTGAGTCCTTCAAGTACCTCAAATTACCTGACAGCCATGTCTTCGCCTCCATGCTAGTAATCCTGTACATGCTAGCCCTCGCCACCATTTCAATGTGTAGATGTAGGGGCGGCAGGTTTAGCAGAGCCTCAAGGGCTGCAGTCGGGGTGGAAGACATAGCTCCTGTTACTATAAGACAAGCAGTCCTTTGCAGACTGTTAAGTCTTGATATGATAGTACTCTGTGTCGTTTTTCTACTCCAAACCACCGAGGCGTAAGACACCATCGGCCTTATGATGGCTGTGTAGAGCCAGAGGGCTATATTGGGTTTCAAGCCCCATCTATTTCCCGCTAGCCGACAACATATCATCAGAGCTGTTTTAGACTTCTGTATAATTCCGTCTACGTGTGCGTTCCAGGTAAGTTTCTGGTCCAGTGTTACCCCCAGATACTTGACCTCTGTCGAGAACGGAATGAGCCTCCCATTCATGGTCGGAGGCGAAAGCTTGTCCAGCTTTCGTTTCCTTGTGAATGGGACGACCACGGTTTTGCCTGCATTAATCGACAGATTATTGTTTTTACACCATGAGTTAATTGTGTTCAGCGCCCTCTGCATAAGGTGCGATAGCATACTTTGGCAGTTTCCTCTCACTATCACCACCAGGTCATCGGCATAGCCCAGGGTGTCAAAGCG